TGCCCCTCTTTGACAGAACTCGAGAGTCACAAGTGACGGGAGTGAATGTCAAAGCCCAGAGACGACCCATTTTTGACAAGGCCGAAGACTTTAGACAAACGTACAAAGTAAGCAGAGATGTGCCCGCAGGCAGGCCCGCAGGCAGGGGGGCAAAATGCAAAGCGATATGCAAGAAGCCGAACATAACTCAATGATCATGCAAATGCAGCAAGCTGTAATGAAGCAAGTATTCGCAAATAGATGCAACAGTTTTAAGCAAGAATGCAAAGCAACAACTACATTTCATGCAGCTAAGGATGCGGAGAATTATTCAATCCTCGCCACGTCTCACACGGAGAAGATACGATACCTGCGCGATTCGTCTGGCCGCACCAGCCTCAATTGAACCGTACATACAATATCGTGCCTGCAAAAGAGAGAAATTGCAACAAGTGCAATATGCTACCAACATATATTCAATGTGATTCTGGAAGTTTGACACACGCAGTGCCGGTGAGTGAATGCATCGCAATGCAAGAGTGGAACGTGCGTGACAACGCATGCTCAAGCATAGAGGTATGCCAATATCAAGAAATGTGCATGGAAATGCAGGTATGCTCATGAGAATGCAAGTTATGTGCATGATAGTATGAAACGAGCATGAATCAGGGTGCCTGTTTGTCATGAAATAACGAGTAATGGAAACGCGTGTTTCGGCGAAGGCGACTTCGATGACGGCCTTTGATTCAATTTCCTGGAAAGACTATAACATATTCAAAAGGATACATCTTGATTTCGATGAATAATGATGAGACACATGTCAGATCTTGAAGCTGAAGTTCCGGCAGAGCAATTTCGCGACCGAGAGTGTACGTTTCTTGAACTTTTTCAGGTCCCGGGAACTCCAATCTTCCTCAAAATTTGCAGGGAGCTAGGTGAGCCTGTGAGGGACATGGCCGGCCAGTTTTATGAGGGATAGGAGGTGGCCAACCGGTTTTCCAAAAAGCAAATAGCTGGCCGGCCAGTTTTCCAAAAAGGAAATGGCTGGCCGGCTAGAAAAGGTGGCCGGCCGGCCATATGCCCAAATCCGAGGGCATTTTGGTCCTTTCACCTCCTTTCTTCATGCTCCTTCATCCCAAGACTTGGAGCCTATAAATGCAGCCGAGATCTTCTCTTCCCTTGCCTTCTACACCACTTTCTTCTCCAGATCTGAGTTCCATACGCGTTTTCCAACGCCCCACGCAAA